GAGGGGGGGGGCAAAGGGGATACTTTACATTGGTCAGGACACAGTGTGGTTCACAGAGGCCTAGGGAAAGCAAGTTCGATGGACAGGAGAATATATTGTCCCTATATTGTTACTCATTGTACATGTAACGGAACTGTTGTTGGGAAAGAAAAAAAACGAAGCTCACTAAAGGGAGAAAACTGAAACAAAAAATAACAGATAAGACCTTTTATTTAATTGACCCCCTTGATGAAATTTGGATTCGATCGTAAGTTATTACATGTATTACGAGTATATGATATGTGTGCATCCCTAGAATGTGATAACCTGCTATAATAATATATTATAATATGAGAATCTTTAAGAAAAACTTCACACCTTGGTAAGCGTTAGCAGCTAGATCTATATTGTTATACAGAGGTTGTCATTCTTTTTGTAGCTCAGAAAAGAAAGAAATGTGATTGTAAAGCAGCACAGCCTTGCCAAAAAATACAAGATTTTTGTAGTTATTAGTATTAGTATGGGTTACCATGATCGCTACTGTCCGCTTCATACCTGACGCATGAACAAGAAAAAGACGAGTTCGAAAGGAATAGAACGATATCGTGAAGATACGATTGATTCTTCGTGCTGTTCTACTTTCGACATTATTCCTTTACCTGAATGAAGAGTGAAAGTTTTCGATGACAACCAAGCCAAAGTGTAACATAATATTGCCTGGCAAATTATACGTTATTAGATATAACTTCTTTGTTTTAGTTCTGGGTTTTTTTATCGACGAAAAACAAATGAGGCGAACCCTGGCCTAGCCTAGATCTACTGATGAGTAAACCTGTGTTATCATCATAATTATCTGCAGAGACAAAATTTCTAGCGACTGAGGCTGAGAGTTAAAAAATTCTTATCATGGACTTTGGATTTGACTCTGTTGTGTTACATTCTGTTTGACTCCTGTGTAGATTCATCAACAGTAAGAATACGAACTTAAATCTAGATTTCTAGATCTAGACTCTAGATCTAGATCTAACTTTAGATCTAGATTTCTAGACGTAATATTATAGTATTTTTTGTTGTTGGTGTGATAACGGAGGGATTGAACAGCTCTCTGAAAATCGTATTTTATTATTATTATATTTTTAAAAACTTTAAAGTGCATTGATTCTGATTCTATTTTCTCTCAGTAATCCAGAGTCACTTCGTTCCTCACAACTTTCTTTTTTTTATCCCAACGGAAGGCTGAAGTTGACGGAGGATGACTCACAGGATGAGTGGCACCTTCAAACAGCTGAGGTTAATGCCAGAGCTGCTGGCCAAACAGTGGAGAGTGACCGGCCACCGATGTGTGACTACGTCTTTGGGCACCGACTCACAGAGGCACCAGCTAGTCCCGGACAATCAGAAAGTGGAGAAAGGAGATGTTTCAAGAAACAGGACCCAGTGCAAGGATGAAGATGAGGACCCAAGCCGAAACCAACAAGAGTCTGCTTCGCCTTCCCCACAACCTCCGTTTGCCCACGCAAAATTGGGCCCCTTTGTTCAAGCACGGCCAGAATTGAGTAACCAGTTTTCTCAGGACACGTTTTTGCAAAGTTATCTTCGGAGATACATCGGCAAAGAGGTAGATCTAATCGTTTGTTGAAGAATTAAAATTTAAGTTACTGCTACTATTGGAAAAGATGTCTGGAAGTTTTTATAGTGTAAGTAATTACAATTTCGTTCATCGTACTTTTTCATGCTGTACTGTTGGGATTTTAGACTAGATCTAGGTTTAGAGTAGCTGTACCTACCCAGGGCAAGTCTTAGTCCAGCAGTAAAGTGTTGGCCTGTGGCCTTGTAATTATGTTTTATATATATATATGGAAAAAGGTTTTTTTAGTCTGTTTTTCCAGACAAGGGATTGTAGTCCCGTTTCCTTTAGTCTGATTTTTAAAAATTTTGTTGTGTTTTTTTGCAGAGAGAATTGGTGAAGAACATTAGCTGCCTGTGCAGAAAAAGTTAGTTTACACTGTAGGTAGGCCTACCTGTTATAAAAATTGTATGTAAAAATCTATTATGAATAAAACGGTCCCAGGTCTTTCTGCAAGTCACAACACAATGTGTTTTTGTATTCATTTATATGTAGTTGTATAAAAGTTATTTTTCCGCAGTTTTGCTTTTTACAGAGCTGATGTTACAATAGAATATAATTATGTATTTTATTTGTAAGACTTGTGTATTTAAATTTATTTTCAGTATGTGTCAGATGTATGCTCGGATCTGGAAAGATTTGGTCAACGGGTCACGGAGGATATTTACCAAAACTCGTTACGTATGGAGGCAGAGCAGCCCAAGGTATGGTGTGGAGTGAGAGATTCTTGGCAAGCTTTCTTGTCAGATCAAAACTGTAGCCTACACCCTTGTCAGATCAAAACTGTAGCCTACACCCTTGTCGGATCAAAACTGTAGCCTACACCCTTGTCGGATCAAAACTGTAGCCTACACCCTTGTCGGATCAAAACTGTAGCCTACACCCTTGTCGGATCAAATATATGCTGCAACTTTCTCTTCTCAAGTAACTGAGTAAAGTCTAGTTAGTCAGATCAAGTGATGTAACTTGCTCCGTTCAAGTATCATTAACTTATGACCCAGATTAATCCCCCAAGCGTCGCTAACAAATAGCCGAAGGTGTCAGGGAAAATTATTTATTTCACTATGTAAATATATACCAGTATATTACCATGTCGGAAAATGCTGGTCTGGAGAGTAATCAAACCAAGCAAGGAAAGGTAATAACCTATTCATTTTTTAGAAAGTAGAATGTAAAGATATGCGAAAAAGAGCTCAATTATGGAGGAGTTGAAATGTTTGGGAATATAAAAGATAGATATATATATATATGGGTTAAACGAACCAAAATAGCAACGCGACACCACAGAGCAAAACTTGCAACCGATTTTATTTGCTGTAGACACTTGGAGGGTTAAAGTGACCATAGTCTGATCCAGTAATATCATTTTCCCTGATCCAGTAATATCATTTTCCCTGATCCAGTAATATCATTTTCCCTGATCCAGTAATATCATTTTCCCTGATCCAGTAACATAATATGAGCAAGGAATAGAAACTGATGTGAAATAGAGAAATAATGCCTGTGCCGTCTGTTTTCTTTGTGCCTTGGTATGTTTTGTCTAGGGGTTTGGGTTTTTTTCAAGTTCTGGTACTTTCTAACAATGACTTATTTGAATGTGATTTTTTCATCTCCACGGCATGACTTTGAAGAAGGCTATGGATGTTAAACAGACAAAGATATGTAACTGTTCTCATGACCTGCCAAAAAAAAGGGGTCAGAGGAAATTTGCTGATTTTTTCTCCTACAGCAACAGTCTTCTCTTGCAATGCCCCTCCTGACTCATCATAGAACCTTCAAACCTCACTAGCCTACATCATGTGTGCTTGTTCCTTCCCTCCTTCCAACACACCTCACTAGCCTATATGTGTTGTTTCCTTACAACACACCTCACTAGCCTACATCATGTGTGCTTGTTCCTTCCCTCCTTCCAACACACCTCACTAGCCTATATGTGTTCCTTCCTTCCAACACACCTCACTAGCCTATATGTGTGTTCCTTCCCTCCTTCCAACACACCTCACTAGCCTATATGTGTTCCTTCCCTCCTTCCAACACACCTCACTAGCCTATATGTGTTCCTTCCTTCCAACACACCTCACTAGCCTATATGTGTGTTCCTTCCCTCCTTCCAACACACCTCACTAGCCTATATGTGTTCCTTCCTTCCAACACACCTCACTAGCCTATATGTGTTCCTTCCCTCCAACACACCTCACTAGCCTATATGTGTTGTTTCCTTCCAACACACCTCACTAGCCTATATGTGTTGTTTCCTTCCAACACACCTCACTAGCCTATATGTGTTGTTTCCTTCCAACACACCTCACTAGCCTATATGTGTGTTCCTTCCCTCCTTCCAACACACCTCACTAGCCTATATGTGTTCCTTCCCTCCAACACACCTCACTAGCCAATATGTGTGTTCCTTCCCTCCTTCCAACACACCTCACTAGCCTATATGTGTGTTCCTTCCCTCCTTCCAACACACCTCACTAGCCTATATGTGTTGTTTCCTTCCAACACACCTCACTGGCCTATATGTGTTGTTTCCTTCCAACACACCTCACTAGCCTACATCATGTGTGCTTGTTACTTCCTTCCAACACACCTCACTAGCCTATATGTGTTCCTTCCCTCCAACACACCTTACTAGCCTATATGTGTTGTTTCCTTCCAACACACTTCACTAGCCTACATCATGTGTGCTTGTTACTTCCTTCCAACACACCTCACTAGCCTATATGTGTTCCTTCCCTCCAACACACCTCACTAGCCTATATGTGTTCCTTCCCTCCAACACACCTCACTAGCCTATATGTGTTACTTCCTTCCAACACACCTCACTAGCCTATATGTGTTCCTTCCCTCCAACACGCCTCACTAGCCTATATGTGTTCCTTCCCTCCAACACACCTTACTAGCCTATATGTGTTGTTTCCTTCCAACACACTTCACTAGCCTACATCATGTGTGCTTGTTACTTCCTTCCAACACACCTCACTAGCCTATATGTGTTCCTTCCTTCCAACACACCTCACTAGCCTACATCATGTGTGTTTTTTCCTTCCTCTGTAGCTGGAACAAATGGACGCCTGGGGCAAGCGAGTGGACCGGCTCATTACGTCTAGCGCCTGGCAGGACATGAAGACTATCGCGGCCGAGGAAGGTCTGATCGCTTGTGCCTACGAGAGGAACTTTGGTGAATGGAGGTACTGCGTTCATCTCTGTGGAAAAAATAAACATAACATCTCTAGAAAGTGCATCATATTTTTTCTTTTTTGTTTAAATTTTCTGTTGACATATATTCCTTCCTCTTTGGAATGTATGCATGCGCTTCCTACCTGGGACTCTGATCTTAAGTAAAGAAAGCAAAACTGAGCCCAACGTGGTATTGGTACTGTATTGTGCCTCTCACATGATACAGAGTTGGTGAGATCAGTCTTGGCTGTAGCCATTGTGGCTATTCTCAGTCTTTTCTTGCTGGACTGTAGCCATTGTGGCTATTCTCAGTCTTTTCTTGCTGTACTGTAGCCATTGTGGCTATTCTCAGTCTCTTCTTGCTGGACTGTAGCCATTGTGGTTATTCTCAGTCTTTTCTTGCTGGACTGTAGCCATTGTGGCTATTCTCAGTCTTTTCTTGCTGGACTGTAGCCCTTGTGGCTATTCTCAGTCTTTTCTTGCTGGACTGTAGCCCTTGTGGCTATTCTCAGTCTTTTCTTGCTGGACTGTAGCCTTTGTGGCTATTCTCAGTCTCTTCTTGCTGGACTGTAGCCATTGTGGTTATTCTCAGTCTTTTCTTGCTGGACTGTAGCCATTGTGGCTATTCTCAGTCTATTCTTGTTGTACTGTAACCTTGTGGTTATTCTCAGTTTACCCTATCAGCCATCTCCGCACACACCCGACCCCTCCAGTCATGTGAGGTCAAGGTCATCTTTGCTAGCGAAGGACGGACACCATGCTATCATGTGCAACTTTCAGGTAAGACGCATCAATGAAATGGGAGAGAAGAGGAAACTAAATGTGGTCAATGGTGTTTGACCTTACTTGTTTACTTAGTGGAAAGTTGCAGGTTACGTGACAGATTGGTGTATGTGGCTGCGTGCAGCGCCCCTACGTACATCATGTAATGTGTGTGGCTGCGTGCAGCACCCCTACGTACATCACGTGATGTGTGTGGCTGCATGCAGCGCCCCTACGTACATCACGTGATGTGTGTGGCTGCGTGCAGCGCCCGTATGTACATCACGTGATGTTTGTGTTTTTTCTTTGTCTGTCTCTCAGCCGGTTGTACCAGATGGCCAAGATGTATCTGTACGAACCGTCAGCGGGCCTGTATGGCTGCCCTCTGGCCATGACGAACGGCGCAGCAAAAACTTTGGAGGTAGAGTCTTTGATGGCGTGGGTGTTTACTTCCTGTGCTGTGATAACAGTTTCCTTCATGAAGCTAGGAGGGATTTCAATTGCCTTACATCAGAAAAACCTTTTATTGAAAGCAAAACGGTTGACCTCTCTTGCTTTTGTCAAAATTATTTTTATAAGGGTATAAACAATACTTCTAATTGGAAAAATTTGTGGAATTAAACTTTTTTTTAAAGATTTATGTTGCAGCCTTAAATTGTCTGATATTTTTAAAAATGGGAAACAGGGACTATGTGTGGACATGGGGAGCTTGTAAACCCTCCTCGTGTGTCTTTATCTTCTTCTAGTTCATTTCTCAATCTACAGGAAGTCCTTTTTTTAAGATTAGTGCATTCCCGTTCAGCATCAGTATTTCCGGGTTGGTATAGACCGTTTTTGGAAACTGCCAATTTTATCGGCGGTAACAGTCTGGTGGCAAAGAAAGTGCCGATCTGATCAGCACACAGTATCTGGGTCAACTCTATCACCTGGAGTGGGAGCAAGGAGAGGTCAGTGACACTGGCCTCTGGTCCCCGAGTAGATGGTTCAGATTGAGTGGTCAGGTCGCAGGGTGCATCAAGTATTACTGATAATGCAGTCCCTTACGAATCCCAATAGATTAATTGCAACTCGGAAGTATTCATTAAGAGAAGTGTATCATAAACCACTTCCTCTTTCACTTTGACACAGTTTTAGCCATTTAATGAACATTTTGCGTGTATCCCTATTACTCGTTTCACAAGATCTGGAAAAAATTCCATCAAAATATGAAAAATAATTCTGGGGTGGAAGTTAAAGAGTTAAGTATTTCTCTTGTGTCGTGTGTTTAGCTTTTACAGGAAGACTACCCCTGGATCTACGAGAGGAGCTATGGCAGACTGACCACAAGGGACCCACAACAGTTCTGGACGTCTGGTCAGTGGATGACGGAGAAACAGGGAGGATCGGATGTAGGTGAGAGGAGAGTGAGATAGAAATCTGAAACAGGGAGGATCAGGTGTAGGTGAGAGGAGAGTGAGATAGAAATCTGAAACAGGGAGGATCGGATGTAGGTGAGAGGAGAGTGAGATAGAAATCTGAAACAGGGAGGATCAGGTGTAGGTGAGAGGAGAGTGAGATAGAAATCTGAAACAGGGAGGATCGGATGTAGGTGAGAGGAGAGTGAGATAGAAAT